AGATCGTGATCAAAACCTTCGCGACAAGGACCCGTGTCTTTTCAGCGCAGCCGATAGTAACAGAAATGGGGAGACTAAAGTTTGCTCGAAGATCCATCAAAACTCATATTCGCCGAAGTTTGGTTCTGTTCTGCACAAATGTTGGAGCGCATTCTTGCACGAGACTTCAAAGAGCCTTCAGTTCCCCGTCTGCAGACTAGGTGCTGGCTTGTTACATAGCGCTTAGGTCCACATGGGTTCCACAAGGTCCAAGTAGGTATCTGAAAGTTTGCCTAAGGGACACTGCTGGCCAGGCTCTGGGAACTAAGCACAGGTTAGATACGCAAGAATATGCATTGGTAGTCTAGTGGTAGGTCAGTCAGGACCGGGATTGAGAACGATGAGCAGTGTAGTAGCCAGCATCCAGGCTTGCTAATCAATCAATCTCTTAGCAACATTGTTTCAACATGTTGTTTCCAATGTCAATTCACAACTGGGCCTACCGTTGCCGACATAAGCAATCGCAATTCAACCAACTTTACCTCCCCAGTTGATTGACACAAGTTGAGATGACTAGTGCGCCGCATGCTATTGGCCGTGTCATAACCGAGGACGTCTTAGCTTTCGTTTGACGCGACACGACGCGACGCGTCAACCGGCGCATCTGCCAGCACATCTCATCGCTAATCTCGCTACTGTCACGGATTTCCAGATATCGTCGACGCCTCCTCTATCGACACCCACTTCCGTACTGTGCAGTCCGAGCCACCCACCTCTACAGAAGCCCGGTTCGAGCCGTCTGCGTCCACCCATTCTCTTGCAGATGATGACCACTACCAAGATATCGTCTGGGCGCGACTACCGGGCTATATACGTCCACCAACTAGCGACAAGTTGCGCGCTTGGTTTTGGAAATACGGTTACTATGTTCAACAAGGGCTGAGCTTAGAGCGCTACTGGCTCTGTCGCGAGTGCCATTCGTAAAAGCCCTATCGCACGACTAAGTACATCATTGCCGGAGTCGACAATATCAAGAAACATCTTCTCAACGTCCACTGGATATCAAAAAATAGGCCTCTCTCTAGGAAACGCAGCCGTACAGTGTTCGAGCAATTACAGCTAAATGCGGACGACCCGAAAGACCAGCAGGTAATGAATTGGATGAACAGTAGATTCGACCCTGAACGCTTCAAGAGGCTTCTTCTTTCTTGGGTAGTGTCTGACGCTATTCCCTTTCATAAGCTTGAGAGCGAGCATTTCCGCAAGCTATGCGAATATCTCCGTCCCCAGAGCCGGCCCCATATTCCTCACCACACGACGATGCGGAGCATGATCGTTGACGAGTACGAGCGGCATCTACCCGTCGTCGTTGATCTGCTTCAGAACGCTACCACGCGGATACATCTGTCGTTTGATATCTGGACAAGCAGGCAGATGCGATGCCTAGCCGGTAAGTAGCACATTAACTGCTTCTTCCAAGCTAATCCCTTAGTAGGTGTTGTCGCACATTTCCTTTGTCGAGAGTTCGAGTACAAAACCGTCCTTCTCTCGCTTCCAGAGCAGATCGGACACGCAGGCGTGAAAATCTCTGCTACTATCCAATCGATTCTTGACCGATTTAAGATCCCACCTCAACAGCTCGGATATTTCGTTGCGGACAATGCTTCTGAAAATGATACGTGCGTAAAAGATCTGGAAGAAGCTTTTGGCTATCAACATGGCTGGCGACGCATCCGTTGTATGGGCCATGTTATCAACTTGGTAGCTCGGGCGCTTCTCTTCGGCGAGAATCCTGATGGCTTTGAGGAGGAGAATCAGGAGTCCATGGTTGAAATCATGGAACAGCAGAAGCAGTGGCGGGCGCTAGGGCCTATCGGGAAGCTTCACAATGTAGTTGTTTGGATCCGGTCCTCTGCAGAGAGACAAAGAGAGTTTCAAAACCGCCAGCGGGCCAGTTATATTACTACGGGCGATCCTGATGCAGCCACGAAGCCTGTATACAACCTGATTCTTGCAAACGACACCCGGTGGAATTCAAACCTGGCCGAGATGCAGCGCGCAGTCGAGCTTCGAAACGTGATTGACGAAATAATAGCACCAGAAGTCTACAAATGGAACTCGCACCGCTCTGCGCAGAAGCCATCGATAGCCGAAGATTATCTAACTGCCGACGACTGGGCTGTTATTGCGATCTACTTGGATATTCTGAAGCCTCTCGAAAAGGCCACCTTAAAGCTGCAAGGTAGACCCAGCCGCAGTTCAGATACCGGTATCTGGCATGTACTACCTACGATGGAGTGGCTACTTCATAGGTTCGAAAGCTTCAAGGAAGAGTATCAATCCCATCCGGATCCTCATTTCCGACGCGGCATTACCCAAGCCTGGGCTAAGCTTGATAAATACTATCTGCTTACTGAGAAGTCACCTATCTACGTCGCTGCAGTAGTCTTGAACCCGAAGTGGAAGTGGAAGTACTTTGAGAAGCAATGGGCTGATCATAAGGACTGGATTCAGGACGCTAAGAAAGCAGTCAGAGAGCTTTGGACTGTTGACTGTAGGAACCAGCCACTACCGGATGAACTCGAACTCTGCGAGCCCCAGCAACGCGATATGATCTTAAAATCGGATCTAGACGATTTCATCAATTCTGTCATGGGCCCATATTCCCCAGCCACGGATCAGCCTGACGACTACGAATCATACATATCACAAGGTGTTACACCTGAGGACCAGGCTTGCAACACCCCCATAGCATACTGGTTAGAGAAACGGCGCGTTTGGCCTCGGCTTGCGAAGATGGCGCTAGACATACTATCTATTCCACCGATGAGTGATGAACCAGAGCGCATCTTTAGCCTTAGCGGTCTTCTAACAGTGGCCAATCGGGGAAGGCTTAAGACGGATGTCATCGGTGCGTCTATCTGTCTGGCAAACTGGCAGAGATTAGGTATAGTTCCTGATAGCTTTTCGGTGAGCACCTCGTGTAGTCAATCACATTTCGCCAAGACCAGTAACTGAAATGTGATTGGTTCGCTTACATTGCATACCCCTGTCCATATATCTTGGCAATATGTTATCAATCAACAAAGAGTTGCTTCAATTCAACTCAACTCAACTTGTCTTTTCGCGATTACATAAGCAACTCAATTCAACTAGGACCGAAATTGAATTGAATTGATTGATTAGCAAGCCTGCTTGGCAACCAGTCACATCGACCATGTTGACAAGAAGGCATTCCTAGCCTCCTTTAGGGAGGTCTTTAGCGGCTCGTTTTCAAAGAAGAATATCCAGTCAAGCTTCTAAGCAACTGGTTTAGTTCCACACAGCCCAGAGGTTGTGTTATCGAAGCTTGAAGTAGAGCCTCGAACGCCGACACCACCTTTACTAGGGGCTGTTGAATGGAATCCTAAACACCAAGCAACACCCGTGAGATAGAGGCTCAATCAACGCTTACTCGCGATCGGATTCGACAGCACAAGAGCTCTTCGCCTGCTTCTACCATTGAGATGCTTGATCAGCTGAAGAAAAGCGCCCAGATGATGGTGCATTCACAGTCGTTGCTGGCAGGCCAGGTCGCACGATTTGAGAAGGCAAACAAGGCTGCGTCTGAGCGCAAACAACGCAAAAGGAAGCGGATACAGAAGGGCTGAGACATATCAAAGGCGGAGGCAGATGAATTAGTTGCTGAAAAGGACGTTGAGGCACAACTGGAGGGGGGAAACGCGCGAAAGTAGGTCTCAAACAGGTGCAAGCAGAGGCGGCAAAAGGCACTGCAAAAGCTGTAGGGAGGTAGGACACAACTCGCGCACGTGCAAGAAAAATACTGTAGATACTGAGTAGTAATTTGATGTCTTTTACAATACGATAGCTTGTTGTGGTGTTAGGTTATCTATATACAAAGGTACGCAACCTTGGTGGGGTGGCCGGTTCGCTTGCCGTTTACGTTACATCAAAACATCTATCTGCAAAAGTTATCTACAATCACGCAAACTCTAGCCCGCTGACCCGCTCTTCAAACGCCCGTTCCTATGCCGACATCACCGACTTCGACCTTTTCAGCGTCCCTTCCAAAGTGAAGACATCAAACATAACACCCGCTCTCGCATGCACCCCGCCGTCGTTCAAGACGCTATCTAGGGCTTTAGCGGAAGTCATGAAGCGCGGTGAAGCTCGATTTTTAGCCTGATCTTCTTCGCTTCCTTCGCAACGCGCATCGAACGGGCGAGAAGTTCTAGTATTGGCGAATTAGGCTTGATCGCAGCATCAATACTAACAACTAAATGTCTTACCTTGACAGACTCTGACGATTCGGCCAGATGCCCTTCCTCGATTGACGGCTGTAATAGCTTGCTGTGCATTGCATCTTGAGGAGAACTGGGATTATTCAGTGCCCAGGTGATAGCTCTTTTCGGCCCATGCGCATCGGAATGCAAGTACTTTTGCGGTTGCTTGCTTTCCTTGGTCATTGGGAACACAGACCGACTCTTGTGGCGACCAGAGAAGGACAGCATATCCCTTGCCAAATTGGAGTTGACCTGAGCAGTTCTCACTCCATGGATGGCAGAGGCTCTGACTGCGAGTAGCCATCCATAGTGGCTATCACCCTCTGAAGTTTGCGACGGTGACCGAGCTTGAAGCCAAGGCGGTTAAAGTCCTCCTCTTTGGCCGTCATTAGCTGCCTCCACGAGTCATACCCCTCCTCTTCAGGCTGCCTTAGTTTTCCCTGAAGGCTCCGTAACCACTGGACCTGAGAGTTGCGGCCCATGTAGTCTGTTTTACTTTCGTCTTCGTTTTGTAGTTGATCTTCCTCTAAGAAATCTAGTTCCTCGATGGAACCAACTGACGCTGCGACCTGAGCTTCTCCGGAGTTGGAGCTGTTGTCATCCTGTTCATCAAAAGATGATGCTTGCCTCAGTCGTTTGCCAATTGACTTTATCGGCACGGCAGGCGTAAGAGGCGTGTCGTCCTCAAAATCATTGAGAGTGTCCTCGATTCTCTTCCTGTTTGTCTCAAGATCGATGCTAATATCGTTCAATAGCGTGGTCAAGGTTTGGTTCTTCTGTAACGCCCTGTGCGAAATAAGACAACGTAGATAAGAATGATTAGATCAACAAACTCTCTCAAGCGATCCCTGCGCTCTTCGTCATAAAGATATTCCAAATTCTGCGTCCCACAGACGATGCAGCGCGGTCTGGTGCCAGAGCATTTCGTTTCTGCACATGTTAGCTCGCACAATATGTCCACACGAAGCAACTGGTAGGTCGGGACGGAAGGATTGGCTTAGAGATTATACCCACTGTGCTTCCGGCATCTAGTGCACTACATCTCTGATTAGCGTCATGTTGCTGGTTAATAGCAGATACGGTGCTTACTGCCTTATTCACTATGTCGGGACGAATACCGGGAGGCTTCGGAAGGACAGTCTGCTGGTCAGGCCGCCTGAGCCGAGGGATGGCTACTTTAGCGCCTGGGCCGCTGCTGCTCTCCATTGATGGCAAGCTCCTTTAGAGGTGGCTTGAGTCGGCTGGGCGGAGCTCGCGTAATGGTTCAATAGAAGCAGATACCGGGGCGCAAGTGGAAGCTGGTACGTGAGAGCGGGGCTGTGACGATAATATTGCGCACTGCCTATGATTGTAGGTAGCAGCCTAGAGGGTGCAGCGCTCACAGCTTCTTATGACGAATTGTTGCGGAGAAATGACGTAGCCGGTTGGTGGCGAAAGTGGCAAAGCTTGATCAGCCGGTTAAGCATCGACCAATCAATCTCGCTATGTCTGCCGCGCTACGAACCTCTATATCATCGCCAAGTTTCAGCATCCTACATGTGTACCACTCCGCCTCGCATCGTCGACAACTGCCATGGTACTCCATTGGCACCAACGGTATTTTTCTTAAGTACAGTACTAAGTCATAAGTGTGTTCGCGTTAAGCGCACGGGCTCCACAACAACATGAGATTGCGAGACAGGTATCTTCTGCAACACCACATAACTCCATCAATATGAGGTCTTTTAGCACTGAAATTTCGGGCAATCGAATGCCCAGCGGTGAATTATCGGAAGCGCAACGCATATATATCTTAGCCCAGGTTGACGCTGGTCTATCGACGCGCAAAATTAGTGAGACGCTCGGTTGTACACAACGCGCTGTACAGAAGATTGTCGCGCGATGGAAATCGACTGCCTACCACACCAAGAACGATCGTATGGGCCGCCCACCTATTTTAACTAGTAGAGATCATCATCGGCTTCTTATCATCGTAAAGAAAGATCCTACAATCGAGTACAGCGCTCTCCGTACAGCCGCGGGTCTTAATGGTGATGGGACGACACCACCAGTTTCATTTCGAACTATCGCCCGCGCTCTTGCAAGTACAAACTACTCCAAGTGACGAGCCGCCCGGAGGCCAAAAATCAACGCAATTACAGCTAAACTTCGCCGTGACTGGGCTCTACAATGGACTGGATTCGACTGGGATCGAAAAACTCTCAAGTTCAGCGATGAGTGCAGTATTGCGCGCGGTTCTGGCCGCCATCCTCGCTGGGTTTGGCGTTTACCAACCGATAAGTGGAGGCATGAGATGGTGGAGGAGAACGAGACTAGCCAGCAACCAGCTCGCATGGTTTGGGCTTCGGTTTGGATGACTCCAAGGGGTAGAATTGGGCGTAGTCCTCTAGTAATCATGACCCGCGACGCATCAGCAAAGCGCAACGGCTACACAAGTCTTAGTTACACTATGGCTCTCGAGGAAGGACTACGCGATAACTACAGCGCGGGCGAGTTGTTTATGCAGGATAACGCACCAATGCACACTGCTCATCGCTCGAAGGAGTGGCTGGAGGTTCATGGAGTTCATACAATCGATTGGCCACCATACTCACTCGATCTTAACCCAATAGAACACCTTTGGTGGGCTCTCAAAAAGCAACCCTATAAGCTTAAGCCTCACCTCGATAATATGGGAGACTCAGAAAGTGAGTGGGTTGAGTTTGAGTTGGGCTTGAAGGAGGCGTGAGCTGCCATACCCGAGAAACTGGTGCGCGACCTCATCACGTCCATGCCGCGACGCATCAACGCAGTTTTACAAGCCAAGGGTTACCAGACACAATATTAAGGACATTGCGATTATTTCTGTCGTTTTAGAATTTTATTTGGAGCTATTTTGGTGAAGTTGCGTTGAGTTGAAATGTGGGAGATTTTCTGCGTTCGTGGCCCGTGCGTTGCGGGCGAACAGACTTTTGGCGTGGCACTGTATCTCCGTGTAAGATACTTCGTTGGTATCGTGCTGGGCTCCTTCCATGACGCTGCGTCTATACTTCCTTCCAGGTCAACATCCGCCTCCTGTTCACTAATAGGAGCGCTTACTTTGAAATTCGGCGTCTGCCATTTCTTTTTTTCATGGAGCCGGAGATCATCGCCGCCTGCTCTTCGATGCCTTCCTGCTCGTCTACGCTCGCCATTCAATACCCTTCCGTCCTAATCCTAACATACGAATCCGCATTACTCACATACCCCCTAAATCTCGGTCCAACAGACCAATTCGACAAAGTGTGTACCGCCTCTTTAGCCGTAGGGCACAAATCCACCTGACCCGTCTTCTCATGCTTGCAGAGCGCTTCACCCGTAGCAAAGGACCAGTCGCACAGGGTGTTGATACTCATGTCCATGAGCCATTCCATGCGCTCTTGCATCGCCGGTATTTGGACAGCGAGTTCGCGGAACGCGGGCCAGACGACGAAGTCGACAATGTCGATGTGGGGCATGAAGAGCTGGTTGGGCGTGGGGCGGAACCATTCTGGCATTGCTTCGTAGGTTGATGGGGACGGCGAGATCATCCATCGCATTAGGTACCAGAAGAGGTACATGGAGCCGAAGCATGTGAATGTGTCGCCTTCGGTTGTTAGCATTATGTGTCTGGCTTGAGATCATCTCTAGCCCTGGAGAGGCATATGCTTACCCTTCAGATATACGCTGTGCACCATGCCAACAGCCCACTTGGAAAGTATACCCGAGTTCTTGAAGACGTCCTCATCAAAGAGGGCTGCGATGCTGGGATGTGTTTCGATGATCTGCTCTACAGATACTCCCATGTTCATCATGTTCGTAGCTTCCCGTAGGACTCCTGGTATTGTGTGTCTTAGCGAGCCTGGGTCAGGCAGTGTATGTATGGGTAACATGGCCCATGCGGGAAGCAACAGGTTGCTGGCTCGTGTGCCTTGGACATCAGCTAGATAATAATTGGTCTTGATGCTGCTAGAAAAGGGCATATTGCCAGAGAGGTTGCGGAGGTTTAGATCGGGATGGACTCTGAGGACGTTCACGTTAGGCTGTCGACCAGTGAGCTGGGTCGGGTATATCGATCGGATAGTTTGTTGATTGCGCAAAGACCTCCTGGAAGATGGCGTAGGAACTCTTCCGATATCAAAGTTCGGGACTTGTTGCAAAAGCCGGGGGTCAATTCTCTCATCTGTGCTATCGTCGTCTTCACTGTCTTCCTCTTTCTCGGTCTTAACCAGAAGATAGTCATCTCGGTCGAACAAGGGAACGAGAAAGGGCTGGATTGTCGCTGAATCTCCGGTTGTCGGCTGTTTTCCTTTAGTAGAAGGTGTAAAAGGAGACGAAGGAACGGTCGCAGGAGACTGCCAGCTTGGTACTTGGTTTGTAGGCGACGTCAAGAACACAGCAGAGCCTTGGCGACATCTCAAGATGCCTGTGTCTGCGTCGAGCACATTCGATATCTCCTGACTCATTCCACTTCCAGATGTGTCCGAGGACTCCTGACCCACTAAGCTGAAGCCAGGTTATTAGCGTGCTGCAGTCAGAAGATGCTGTGATCAAATTATGCATACCTGGGAAGTTGACCGGATGCCGCTGAGGATGCTGTGGTCGGAAGGGACTTGGCAACATCTTCAGGTAATTCGCCGAGTCTTAGTCTTGCTAGAACAGCTGCGGCCTGGTCGTCGGTTCCCGAACGTAAGGAGGTGAGGATGCGCTTCAGATCTTCCAGTTCGCCAGACATGCTGTTCCTTTTTATTATTTTCATCCGCTCAGCTCTCGAGACGCCTTCGGCAACATCGTACTGGCAGATCAGGTCATATTGTTTGCATCGATTGCACCGCGGTCTCGTACCATCGCACTACAAGCAACCTGTCAGCGTTTTTCAAGGAGCTATCAATAGCGCTGAAAAGTAACGTAGGAGATACAGGATGGCATGCATTTCAGATAAGCCTGGCGTACTTTACATAGTTTTGATGTATCACATAGCGTCTAGTAGCTATGCGAGTACTCCCAGGTCATCCGAGACTCATGTCACTGCGTGTGTCACGGTCTTACGTACCTTGGCCTTCCCATACCGACATTGTACACACGCCACAGCAACGGCTTGCCGCTTTTTTCCTCTGTCTGGTGCTGCACGTCGCTGTTCTGGCTCGTCCGAGGCCGGTGCGATTCTTTGCCATCGCTCCAAGGGGTCCATGCTGTGATTGTTGAGGTGGTGGACGAGACGCAATGCTCGCAGAGATTCCAAGGTCGATGCTGGAGCTTGTGGAGTTTTGGCAATCCGTAAGCGTGTGCCGATGATTGTGTTGTTGGAAGTGCTTCGCGCTCTGAAGTTGCAGATTTTTTAATATGACAACATGCAAGCGTTGCGCACTTCCTCTTCGTCGTTGCAGGAACTTATCAGTTCGCCCCAGACTCCTGACCTAGAAGACACCGTAAAGATCGCGTTCGTGACCTGGATTGATTCCTCGGTCCAAATGACCGACGAGCAGCCTCTTCGGGAATGTCTTTCTAGCCAATGAAATGCCGTGTCGCAACGCCTCACGTGCCCTCTGAAACGGTGCAGAATAAGTCATGGAAGTTTGTCACTATAGACAAAAGACGAACGTAACAGGCGCAAAAGGTCGGAATCAAACGACTGCCGTGGTGTGCTAGCTTCGGTGGCACGTGTGTGGCGGTCCTGGTGCAATGTGGTGCGCGCCATCTCTGCAACAGGTTCTAGGCCTAGCTGCGCATTGTTAGCCCCAATCGACTGTTCATGGCGTGGAAGATAGGGATAAATGATTGGGTTACCCACATGCCAATGGAGTGGTGGTGGCGGTGGAAGCTGTGCGGATTGATGGGGTACGTTAGTCGATTGCAAGCGAGGAGGTTTCTCGGATCGAGGTGTGACGTCGTGTCTTCCACAGCATTTGCCCACAGCTACCTCTTGGCCTTAGTAGAAACACCCTGCATAACTCCTCTACAGTTGCGATAACCCGGTCAGCTGAGCATTATCGCCACGTTGCAATTCCTGCCGTGTGGGCGCTTCGGCGCCTTGGAGCGATTTAGATGTACAGTCGAGAAGGAGGGAAAGAGATGTGATGCGGAAGAGCTTGGAAGATGTGAAGTCAAATAAAGCAACCATGATTGACGTCACTGCCGGCAATCTGGCATTTTCTCGAGGTGTCACGATTACGGAACTAAGGGTCCAGGCTAGATGCATCCTCAGCAGTCTCGATCCGAGGTGTCTGCTACAAATTCCGAAACACATTGTGCGATCGGCCTGTGCTTGCAGAAGCCTCAAACAAAGACTCATAGTGTCTCGTCGCCTCGCATGAGTAGCCGCATGACGTCGTGCGATACGTAGCTATCACTGAATCAACCAATGTAGCTTCCCTTACAGTCGTGACCTGATCAATGTGCGAGTTTCCATCTTTTTCGCATGGCTCCGATATATTTCCAAGATCGTGTCGAAGAGTAGGCAGACAGTCTGCAGAGGGTTGCTGGTCATAGCAAGTAAGGTGAAGAACTGGATTGAGCAAAGGCCGAGACGGTGATGTGTATGGCATCTCGCTGAGCCTTCCCGGATTGCAGCGCTCTGTATGATGGCCGAGCGAGGGTAAAAGGAGTCAAGACCGACCCGTTTGTATCGATAAGTAACGGTCGCGGGGGGCATAGCAGATGCATGTGTTCCGAACAATGCGGATATTAGTCTTTGATCTACCTTCGGGTGTGGTTAAGGTTACAAGCATTCGCCATTTATCGTCATCATGACATGTGAAACACGAAGAGTAATAGCGCAGAATGTATCATATGGTCAGTAGAAAATACTCTACAGCCTAGAGAATTTAGGCAGTGCTTAAGCTCTTTGTCGCTTCAGAGCTCCTAATTGGCCGCGCTGCATCCGATCCAGGAAGCAAAATCGCTTGCACGCGGATGAGCTCGGTTCGTCGATCTGGTCGAACCAATGCGGATTTAAAGGATCCTTTAATGAGCATTTGGAGGCAGCAGATCATCAGCCATATCTCCCACTATAACCCTTGTAGGCGCAAGCCGTCTTGGATCCAGATTAAGTATGTGTCTGACAACTGCCACCTCTTCTAGCTTTGTAAGCTTCTTCGAATTAACGTGTTCCACCAGTCATCCGGCCGCCCCACTAAACCCGATGCGACGCTCTGCACAATAGCTCCACAACAACATAAGATAGTAGCATATAATTTTGTAAATAGCTAGTCTATTACTGTCTACATTGAGTCCTTGTATGTCCTTGGACGTGGCATGTTGTACACGTTGGCGGCGCGCGCTGACGTCCTCGACTTGTCTGACTCTCGTCAACCTCCGCGCCTAGCCTTTCTGCCTCTACAGCGAGCTGCTGACCTTGCTGAGCCTATAGCGCTCCTCTATAAGCTATATACTGACGCCACTGGTCTCCCTTACGTTGCTGACGCTGACTGGTCATACGAAGCTTCCTATTCTCCTCTGCGAGTATAGTCGCTGAGTTCATGGCAAGCTGACATCCCTTAACGAGCTGGCGAATAGCTTGGCTTGTTGGGCTCTGTGACTGGCGACGAAGGGAATCTTGTACGTGTCGAGCCTGCTGCTGAAGCTGCGCTACCGTACGCGGCGTCTCTACTGTCCATGCGATGTTGTTGTCTGCTGTTGTCGCTGGTGGAGACGGCGTTCTGACGACTGTGAGCGACGATAGGACGCGGTCTCGACAGGGAGGGATAAGCCCTGTCGTCTGGAAGCTAGCCTGTATATCCTCGTGCGTAAATACTGCTGGCCGGATCCGTGTATAGATCATAAGGAAGTCTACCTTGTCAACGTGGTAGACGCCTTGGCGAGCCAGCTCCTGGATCTCGTGACCGTACGCGCGCTTGAGTGGAGAGAAGCAGCGCACGTCAATCGGCTGCAGGAGGTGGGAGGTATGGGCTGGCATATAGAGAGTGATGATCTTGTTCTCCGTACAGTACTGGTCAAACTTAGGTGTAGCGTGGCTGCTATGGCCGTCTAGGATAAGGAGACGGTAGACCCTACGCGTACGAGACGTCGTATGCCTGTTAAAGTGCTTTACCCACTTAACGCCAAGCTCATCCGTCGTCTAGCCGTTGTCTGATACAACGACTACCTAGTCTGGCGGAAGGTGTTGATACTAGCTAGCCTGGTGGAGCTTACCAGACAGGATCACGAAGGGTAGGAGACACCAGCCAGATGCGTTAATACTCTCAATTGTCGTGACCTAGTCTCTGTTACCTGGCTGTACGACAGTAGCGCGACCTACTGTATCTGAGCTCGTGATAACTTTTGACGTAGCAGCGACACCTATTATAAGCCAGTCTCGTCAAAGTTATAAACGTCGTCTTCTAGTATCCCATGCGCCTGGCGCGTCTCCTCTACGAGCTTGAACCACGCTGCGATCGCGACAGGGTCCTCACAGTGAGCGCGCTGGCTATGGAACCTCCTGTTCCACTTTGTCTGAACCTCAGACTGGCTGTTAACAAAGCACGACACCCAGTTCTTGCCCACGGGTGGAGGAGGTGGATCTTGGCCACGGCTAGCGAGTAGAGCGTCTGCCATACGTCGTACGTCGATGACCTGGGGTAGAAAGCCTCGTCGATCAAGGTCTAGGATCCACGAGACGAGAGACTGCTCTTCGGTAGTTGATAGCTTGCGGTTAACTGATGTAGTCTCGTGTTTAGGTTGGGTACCTTGAAGTCGGCGTTGAAGAGTCGTATGAGGGGACAGAATATAGCTGTGATGCTTTACGCTGGCTTGTAACGCGTTTCTCGTGAAGCGCACGCGATGCTAAAAGAATTCTACCTTCGCGACAAGGCGATAGAGGACGTTGTTGTTGTGTCATAGTCGTTGGCGCAGACAGAGTTGCGATGATTTTGGTGGGGTGGCCCGGTTACTGGTGTGGCCCACTTACCGTGCCCGTGCACCCAACGATCGGAGTCAACCAACGATCGCTCCGAGCCCTGAGGCCTACTACAAAATTGAAGCTATAGAGTCACGTACAATAGTTATTATCGCGAGGTGTTTTGATAGAGTATTCTTTAGGCCTACGTAAACAATATTCTCTATATAAATTCTCTATATAAAGTGGCGGTGCGGCCGCTGCGGGTGGTGTGGGTGCGCGCAGGTGGAGGAGGCGTCGCAGGCTTTGGGTGACTACGCGCACCTACACTACGACGCCCAGGCTTTGGTTTAACTGCAGAAGCTTTTGAAATTGTAGGCTTGCCTCTTTGGGATAATTGTAAGGCTTTTGTAGAGTCACGAGCCTGTTTGGCAGTGGTTCTAGCAGCTTTCCGGGCATCAATAGCTTGACGCTCCTCTGCCTTAGCCTGCGCGCGCCTTCCTTCTCCCTTACACGCTGCGCACGCTTCTCTGCTGCAATCTTCTCCTTATATAGCTTGTCAGCAGCAGCTAACTCCTTCATCTCTGCCTTTTTAGCTCGTCAGCCTCCTTCTCCTTCTCAGTAACTGCCATGCGGACGCGCGCCTCCCGAATAGCTCGAGGTGACCACACCATCGCTCCGCCGTGGTACTCCTGATGCTGTTGCAGGTCTAATTGCCTGCTAGGTTGCTTCTGGCACTTCTGTTTTAGGTATAGCTTCTGCTGCAAGCCATTAAGTTCGTTGTGAAGGAGCTCTACCTGGGTTGATAGGTGGTGGATAGTTTGGCCAAGCTTCGCGCACCTACACTGCGAGGATCCTTCACCTCCGCACGCAGTGTAGTGCAAGCTCTAAGCCAATCCTGTGCAGAATAAGCCGTGGAACCAGAGGTAACTGAGCCCGAGTCAGTAGGTGTTGTGTGGCCGAATCTATCGAGTATAACGTTGGGGTTAACTGGGGCTATCCCTGTGGCAGCGAAGGCGTTTTGTACGAGCTGTTTGGTGAATGTAGTCACCCAGGCAGGCCAAAATAAGCTTACAAAGTCACCTTTCGTTAATGGTGATAGGCCTTGAGACTTTTGGAGGTAGTCATCCAGCTCGGGGGCGTACGCGGAGGAGAGTGGCTTGAAGCAGACTACGTCCAGCGGCTGTAGCGTCTGTGTACTGTGAGGTGGTAACACAGCAAGTATAATCCGATTCTGATCGCAGTAGTCAATGAAATCCTGCGTTAGGTGACTCCGTGGCCATCTACTATCAAAAGCCTATAACTTCGGCGCGCCTTTGCCTTTGTATAACGGTCAAACACCTGCTCAAGCCAGGCCAATCCAATATCATTGTTCGTCCAGCCTGTAGGCGAAGAAGCCACGTGAATTGAGTGGGTTCCTGCCTCAATATCGGCCACCCAATGACTCTGGATTGTGGAGTTCTTTGACGCAAAAATGATGCCTGGGGGTAGAGCTGTACCATCCGCGCAGACTGCTGCCAATAGGCTCACCCACTCACGTGAGCCATCTTGACGAGCCTGCCTAACTTCCTTCTTCTCATATTGACGCCTACTAAAGATGCGCTTTGTCCTTCCTAGCAGCCCAATTGCAAAGCCCTTCTCATCCATATTGTATGTGTGCGCTGGCTCAATGTCGTACTCGGTGATCTTCTGCTGCAGCAGGTCAAAGTACAGCTTGTACTTATACCCAGACTCGGTGTTGTGGCGATTAGAGTCCATACCCGTCGTCCATTGTAGTATAACGCGGTCGCGGTAACGGTGTAGGAAGCGCGTAACCCAGCTCTCGGAGCAAGGATTTTGGGCTACTTTAGAGGCGAAATTTTGTACCATAACTCTTGTAGGTGGTAAGCGACGCGCAGAGAGTAGTTCTATATACTGCACTAGGTCCTCCTCCTGTTGTCGAGTGAGCTTGTGTTGGTGGTCGTTCGCGACGCGTCGAGGGACCTGCACACCACGGTGCGCACGCGATAGAGTATTACGATCAACACCGTGCTTAAGCGCAATTTTTGTATACACAAGTTTATCGCCTGGTTTCAATTTACGAATCTCTGCAAGCGCATCATTAATCCCTGGCATGGTTGTTGAGCTATTACGCGTTGAAATTTGGTGTAGATGTTGTGCACCGATCGTTGGTTGACTCCGATCGTTGGGTGCACGGACACGGTACTGGCGGAACACGTTAGCAATTTCGTAAGATGCAATGTGATTTTGTGGGTTTCTAGAGAGCTCGTGCCCCATCCAAGCCACCAAAACTGCACGTCGTGACGATGAACCACCCCGATAAGGGTGGTGCGTGATCTGCACAATGCAGCTGCCAGCCCGCCCTCAACCCGCATGTACAATGACTCGCAGCTCATCAAAAGGGCGCAGGCGGAGGCGCCATCGATCCATTAGACCACGATCTATATTTCTTGACTCCGCCGGACTTGTGCAAGCACACTCGACAAGAAAAGACCAAAGGATTAGACCAACCCGCATCCTCTTCAGCTGCCGAAAAGCGGCACATAAACAGTCGATAAACAGCATCCAACATTTCCGAAACCGTGAAGATTCTAAACCTGGGTACGCTGACAGCCACATGCTGACCGACGCGTTTGTTGAGCTACCCCCACCAACATGTACATGGAGTCAAATATGAAGCTGTAGAGCCACTGCAAATCGTGATAATATTGCGATAACTTGGTGTTGTACTATATACATGCTTGCGAAACGTTTGTACTCTTCAGAATTTTTTTTTTGGTGCTGTTATTAATCGTGTTCGTGTTGTTTTGGGTGGAGCTGGCGGTGCAGCTTGCGCCTCAACAACACCCCAACGCGGCCAACGTGTCCAGTGGTTTCGGCGCAGGGCGAACCAGGCAAACAATCTTTTAAAAACATAACATAGTGGAATATGCAAATTATGGAGAGAGTATATCGCTTCGTGTGAAGCACCCCTCCTCACTGAACAGCATGGCCAACCCAGGAACATGTGGAAATCTAAGTGCTACGCTGAGAATGCCATGTACTCGACGGCGGAATGGTTTTAGCTAGAAAAGCTCGTCTCGATTCCTGCCATTCTTGGCGAAGCATTATAGCTAGGACTTCAAGTAATGACAAAAGATCGCAGAAAGACTTTCGTCTTCGCCACACACGTGTGATATGTAACCATAATAAGTACTAGTAGTGAATATCATTTGCCACCGCTAGCAGGAGGTGGCCGACCCGCACTGGCTACAGGGTTGCCCTGGAGGCGTTGGATTTCTGTATGTAGCTTTTACAGCGAGTAGAGGGATGAAGAACGCTAGGGTGCGTGGGGTCGCCAACGTTAGCCTCTGCCGAGTCCGTTTGAGCTCGGCAGGGCTACCAGTTTAGGGTTCACCCGAGCCCAGAACTAGAGCGTGATCCACTACGGGACCCGCGAACGGGATCTAATGGTAACCAGGCACGACCCATAATTAATGTCCAATGCATCCCGAAATAGAAAAGCAATCTATAGTCTAAACCGAGCATGTAGCTTCGTAGATGTCCATGCTGAAGAAGCAGCTACCATATTTGGATCGAATTCGACAATGTAAGAAGAAGTTCGACTAGCTCGATACTACTGCTGCAATTTGTCCAGGGTCTATATGGCCCGCTGAAGGACAGACTTTATAGGTGAATAGAGCTGGCAATCCTCTCTCAGCCACGACTTAATGAGATCTCCATGCCACAAGGGTCGGTAACCTGCTCCTAGGCTCCACAGCGGGAACCAATACGTAGACCACTATTAATTATACACAGCCCTTGCTAGACAAACTGTGTCTGCGGCGACGAGAGGAAAGTGACAACACAAGTCTTGGGCTTTTACTCGAACGAGCTTCCAATCGGCAGACTTTCATAATCAAGATCGTCCTCCGCTATACGCTTCGCTGCCCTCTCCTCTTGCTCAACATACCTTGCTTCGTCGTTTGAATTAATCTCCTCGGGAGGCGTTTCCAATCTCTTCCTTTTCTTGATTCCAGGACCGACCGAATGCTCACCAAGTGAATGTGATCGGTTTACCATCGTCTCCGCTGCGCCAAGATATTCACAGAGCTGCCGAGTAGAGATGCCCACTTTAAGGTCTTCATCTCCGATCTCGTTGAGTGCAAGTTCTTCATACGCGAAGTCTTTGAGCCGGAGCGGAAGGCCTTCATGATCGGTAGGATTTCCGTCATCGTCGCGGAAGGCCTGTGGAGGATGTTAGCGCGAAGAACACAATATAGCATTTGAGGAAAAGGTGTACTTCATCCGCAACTTCTCGCACAACCCTTAGTTCGTCTCCGTCAGCCGTACTGACCACCTGGGTTCGCCACACCGACACAGTCGCCTTCCGGGAGCCCTTCTTTCCGTATTCAATATCTAGGCCAACAACGACTTGCACACTAGCATTAGAGTCTAGAAGACAATCTTCAGCCAGCCGGCTCAACCTCCTTTTCTTCTGCGAGTATGCGACCTCAATGATAACCCCAGGGTATCGTGCGTCTGTGTGCCAAAAAGACGCGTCTAGCTCGTGCTTCGACTTCTTGGTAAGAGAGGCGCCATCCACTGGAAAATAGATCTCCGTCGACCGTGCCGGGCGAACTTTCTGCGCAAAGAGGGCTGCCTTGTCTGATCCCTTGCGTATCGCTTTCAATTGGCTTCGAATTGCGTCTTCGACTCCGTCGATGAACAGCTCATGTACTCCGGTCGGCATACGAACGACGAGGCAATGCAGTTCTGCGTTGTAATCATACCTGCCAGACTCTAGCTGTTAGCCGCAATGCGCGCCGTGTGTCGAGCACACCCACCGTATCTTGTCTTTGACGTATCCTAATAGCGCCTCGTCTTGCTTAAGCCGACGCTCTATCTCATCGTAGTCTCCCTCCGCAAGCTGAAACTACCTCCACGGGCTTTGTCCAGCGTGATTTCCGTCTCGAATTGCTTCGAAGAGCGTGAGAACTCGGCGGACTCGCGCGAATTGTTTTTCGTCGGTCGGCGGCGGCGTCAAAGGGTGCTTTGCGAAGCTCGAAGGCGGTGTAGTGTTATGATTCTGTATCATGGAAGCGTGCAATGTAGACATAGTCGTACGTTGCACTGCATCGTGAGGTTGCACGATGGCTGTCGCGAAGACTGGTCGCAGTGTGAAGCTCGCGGCGCCTTGGCATTTCAGGCGCTCTGGGTTGACTCAGCAACAGCCCCACGAGGCCACCCCACGCCAGGGCGTCACTGTGGCTAGTGATGAGCCCCATGGCGCAACGACACCGGATCCAAGATAGTGGCTGTTCCCGCGTCTAGGGTAAAGCCCAATCTAGCTTTCGACGACTCGTGTTGTTGTTCTAGGTACGAGGTTGCTGTGTATCGCAGTCCTTCCCCGCACCCTAGTGAATGGCTTTGCGTCATCGCCCAAGCCATCTGAGCCGCGAGTGGAAACATAAAGCACAAGCTCGGCCAACTCCACCGACGTTTTAGAATCGAGATGAACCATCATTCTAACATAGCTGCAATGCCAACCGCAATCGATATGACGAACTTTTCACAGGATGCTCGATGCTATCTATCCTCGTCGATGCCGGTATTACGCCAGTACCTCACGATTGAAGAAGAAAAATAGATCATCAAACAGTTTAGACAATCATGGCGACCCAATGTCCAGGTCTTATGGAACGGCATTCTACGTGAAGAGGCTCAAAAATGGGCAGACGAACATAATATGCAAACCTTGACAACTGTTATGGGGCTCCTCATGGACAAAAAGAATCCCTTGTGGCCAAATCATGATAAAACTAGATCAAGTTGGACCAGGTATATCAAGGGAGCATCTGCAGTTTTTGCGTGGTCAGTATCAAGAGGGAATACGGTTGTGGTGCTATCTCCGCCACCTCCCCAGAGGTTCAATCCAATTGGACTAACGAACTTTCAAATGATCGAGGCTCCAATTCTCCACTGGGCAGCAGTACTAAGCCATACTAGCTTACAAATTTACAGTGTGCACCCTATGGTAAAAGGAGCAGAGGACTTTCGTTACCAGATTTGGCCCGTGGATGAAACCAGAAACTGGGATACACATTTTAAGACTGTGCAGTTTCAACAGAGGGAATGGAGAGTACCGAGCTGGGACAACTGGAAGATTCTCATTAGGAGCACCCTTGATTCTATGGTGGGGTCTGGCTTTTGGATTGGGAGTGAATTGTTTGGACTGTCGAAGTGGCAACAAGATTCTGCACGTATGAAGGAAGGAAAGGAGCAGAAGAAAAGAGAGTATAAGCTGAAGGAAGAAGCCAAAAAGATTGAAAAAGGCAAGAAGTTAGAACAGGAAGAGAAGAAGAGGAAGAAAAAGAAGATGAAGAAGAAGCAGAAGTCAATAAAGGAGAAGACAAGTGGGGAGACAGCGGAAGGACAGAAACAAGGGTAAGAGCAGAAGAAGTGCACCAAGAAGAAGAAAAGAGGAAAGAAGAAGAGGAAGGGAGGCGGGAGTGAAGAGGTAGAGAAGAAGAAAGTGAAGAAGAGAAAGGAGACTTGAATGGAAATGGGACATGAGCAGACGTGGTTCCTACTCATTTACAATGAGGGCTGTGTTACAATCGGGTGCCAGAAGTCTGTTCGCGCTATGCGCTCGGGCCACCAACACCACTATTATCGCAAACTTCAATGCTATGCAACTCCATAGAACCATGCTTAAATATTTAATTGAGGGCAGCAAATTAATCGCACTAATCCTAATATTTTGTTTGATACCCTTTTGCTTGTTCAACAGCGTGGAGGCGGTGCGGCATTGACGTGATAAGCTTTTTAATCAGAGTGTTAGGTATAGCCACCCACGCCTCCTTCAAACCAGCTTCAAACCTCACCCACTCCTCTGGCGAGTCTCCTATCGCATCAAACTCAGGATAGAGCTCATGGACCTTCCTTTTGAGCGCCCACCATACGTGTTCAATAGGGTTAAGGTCAGGAGAGTAGGGGGGCCAATCAATCGTTGCAACACCATGCTCCTCGAGCCAGCCTCTTGAGAGCGCAGCAGTGTGAGTAGGTGCGTTGTCCTGCATAAACCACTCGCCAGGTCTGTAATGATCGGTGAGACCCTCATCGAGGGCTTTAACGTAGCTAGAGGCCGTATATCCGTTGCGCGTTGATGATGTATCGCGGGTCATGATTACTAGAGGACTACGGCCAACTCGACCTCCTGGTGTCATCCATACCGCGCCCCAGATCATACGCGCAGGCTGCCTAGCAGTAGAGACCTCCTCTATCATCTTGTGTGACCATTTATCCACTGGTAAACGCCATACCCATTGAGTGTTGTGGCCAGAGCCTCGGGCGAGGCTACACTCGTCACTAAATTTAAGAGTCTCCCTGCGCCAGTCGAAGCTACGCCAATCCTGAGCAAACTCAAGACGTTGTTTGGCGGTAGATCTACTGATTTTTGGTCTGCGCTTTGCTCGAAACTTGCGGTAGCCCTCCTCTTCAAGGGCGCGTTGCACTGTACGCTTTGAAACGTTAGGGTAGGCCTCCTGGCCATCCCACAGGCCAGCCTCCTTGAGGAGCTCACGGTACTCTATACCAGGGGCTTTTTTTTTAGCGATTCGAAGCAGCCGACGACGGTCTCTACTAGTTAAAATAGGTGGACGGCCTGTACGATCGCGCGTGGTGGTGCTAGAGGTGGCCTCCCATCGAGCTATCGTTTTCTGTACAGCGCGTTGTGTGCAGCGGAGCGCGTTGGCGATTTCCTTAGTTGCTGCACCAGCCTCTGCCTGTGCTAAGATAAAATCGCGTTGGCGTTCTGATAATTCACCACCTGGCATTCGATTCCCCGAAATTTCGGCGCTAAATGACCTCATATTGATGGAGTTGTGTGGTGTTGCAGAAGATACCTATCTTGTGATCTCATGTTGTTGTTCGGTCCGTGCGTTTAGCGCGAACGAACTTATGGCTTAGTACAGTATCTAAAAGAGTTTTCAATACCATGCGTAACGTATGTGGCAAGCGAGCGCCGTACCCCACCAAGTTTGCGCACCTCTCTCACCTTAACGTACAATGGTTCAACGTAGCGCTACTCTACCAACTTCAAATGAAACAGATATTCAGCTTGCTATCTCCTCTATTAAATCTTATCAAATACAGAGCAATCGCGGTGCTGCTGCTATCTATAGCGTGTCTGAACGAACGATCCGCCGCCGACGCGCTGGTGTACCTGCCCGACGCGATTGCCAGCCCAACTCGAAGAAGCTTACCCAGCTAGAAGAGGAGGTAATTGTGAGCTATATACTTGACCTAGACCAACGTGGGTTTTTGCCTACGTACGCAGCGGTACGTGATATGGCTAATAAGCTGCTGGCTGCGCGCGGCGCTGGCCAGGTTGGGCAGAAGTGGCCAGCCAACTTCGTCAGGCGTACAGACAGTCTTAAGACGTGTTTTACTCGAGCGTACGATAGGCAGAGAGCTTTATGTGAGGATCCTGTGTTAATCAGGGGCTGGTTTGAGCTCGTAGAGCACACAAAGGCATAGATTTTGACTTCTGACTCAGTCAAATCGAACACTCAAAGTCTTAGTCAAGTCAAATCCAGTCAGCCAAAGTCAAAGTCAAGTCAAGTCAAATCAGAAGTCAGAAATTAAATACTGTATATTTCTTAGGCTACAAACAGGCTGCCCCTAGCCTAGCTGTCGCTGTCTTAATCGTCTATGTAGTCGGCTGGCAGTGCGTGCGCAACTCCGCGATGCAGCCAGTCCTTCAACAACTCAGAGCACTTAATAGTGTTAGCACTAAGCTGAGATCGCTCCCACGAAGTCGTCCGCCTTGCCTTGCTAAATGTCCGCTCTGATTCAGCGCTCATTGCAAAGGCTGAGAGCACGTCAACCGCGAGCTGTGACAGGGCTGGAAACGTTTGTCGCTGTGTAGGCTGTGACCACCACTCAACAGCGCTTATTTGTCTTCCTTCTAGCATTGGCAGTCGACTCGGAGGAGCAAAGATGAAGGCTTCGAAGCTATCCTCGCTGTCTGTTATAACAGCTGACTCTTGTTGCCACTTGTCAAAGGCTGACAACTCCATAGAGGTGTCTTGATCTATCTGGCTAGCAGATAGAGCGGGCTCAATCCGCTCACGATAGCTATGCCACAAAGCCCTAGCACGCTGTAAGCCCTTCTTTAGCCACTTCTTCTTCTCTGTTGTGTTTCATTGGTTGTACAACCACTTGTGGCGCCGCTCAGGGTGCAGCAAAGCTGCAGTGATATATGCTCCACTCTCGTCGATCAGGCTGTAGTATTTACTGAAGAGGTACCAGGCCGTATTTAGAGGAGCGAGCAGTGTCTTATGCTTGGAATGTTTCTTCTGTTGCTCCTCGAAGTGATTGATAAGGAACTCCATAGACGGTTGGAAGCAGTCAAGAGTAGCCTGATGGCCTTCAGCCTTAAGAGTGACCTCCTTGAAAGGCACAAGGAAGTTGTGGACATGTTCCAGAAGGGCCCAGTCATCGCCAGTAAGCACAACTAATTCCAATGCATCAGCATGTCGTGCGAACAAAGCGTTCAAGATAGGCCGTGTTCTGAAGGCCTCTTCAATCATAAGAAGCCAACCATTCCACCGTGTCTCGCCTGGGATCTTAGGGATAGTAGCAGGGCATTCTGGAAAGCTCCTAGACAACTGCTTAAAGGCCTGATTAAACTTGTCGTCGCGTAGTATAACTGCAAGGCTGCGGAGCTTCGCTAGTGCAGGGTGGTTTGCAAGAGCAGTGTCTGCAATATCATAGTCACTACGCTGTAGCTGTCTGTGCCATCGGAGTCCAGCTGTGTTAGCTTCGCCCTCTCATAAGCTAACTCAGCTGCTTCTTCGTTAGTTGCAAACATAAAGGCCTGTGTAGCAAGGTTGATAATATGGCCAATGCAACGGAGTCGTCGTGTCTTCTCTGTCCAGTAAGTAATGCCTTCTGTGCGCATGAAGGCCTCAATTGCACGGACAAGCGTGTCGTTTACTCCTACGTTATCAGAGGTAATCCAGCCAAGCCGAGGGCTAAGGTTGTAGTCCTTGATAGTCTGGATCAGCAGCGTAGAAAGATAGGCTCCAGTCTTGCTCTCTTTGCCGTCAACTTCAACAAGGTCAAGAAGCAGCTGAATAAGCTGTCCATGCTGGTCCACAAACTGGACATTCACGGCTTGGAAATGTTTGTGGCCATGCATTGTCTTCCATGTATCAGTACTGATATGGAAGCAGCTAATTGTATCGTCGCAGAGATACCTGATAACCTCCTCCTGCTGAGCGCGGAAGTTCCGAACGATGCGCGACACTAGTGAGCTGCTTGAGCCCAGTAATACATGATCCGCCTCAGGGTTGACGGTGAGAATCAGCTCCTGGAATTCCTTAGAAACCACCGAGTTATGTGAAAGACTGCACGCTGTAACGAAGCGAGCAAGGGCATTCCGGAATTCTTGCTTCTGAGCAGCATTGCGAAGGACCGTTGCTGTTTGATCATGCTTAAACTCGGCTTTTTTCGCAGCCATGTTGTGAAACCCTTGCTGCAGGCTGTTGGCTTGTGCAATAGTAGAAGGGGTCGCTGAATATCTTCCAACAAAGATAGCATGTTTCCGGAGGTGCGCAGTAGCATTGCCTGATGAGCCTTTCCACTCGCAGTTGTCACCTGCGCAGTAGAAGATCTCATGGCCATGATCGTCCTTAGTAGGCTCGTATGGCAGCCGTTGCCGTGAGTGCTTCCACACCGTCTTGTCCTTCTGCCCTGCGCCTCTGTGCGGAGTACTGCTTTGTCTCTTCCGCTTAAGAAATTGCGTACCAGTTAAAGTAGTAGGGGTGTTGGGCCTAGGCGTTGGCGTAGAAGGGGCAGTAGACTGGCTCTCTACTGTTAGAATGCTGTTGCTGTTGCTGTCGGCGTCGTAGAAGAAGGCGGCGAGTGTCTCGTCGATATTATTATCGGAGAAGCTGGGGCTGTTGGTGTCTTCTACAGGCCCAAACTCCTCTTCCAATAGTGCAATCGATGCCGGTGAGTTGTCATAGATGTCATCTTCGTCAGGGACAGCGAATGTCTGTGTTGCGCCGCTCCTCCGGGGTCGATTAGTCATGATATATCAGATGTATTCACCTCGAATGCCTCACGAGATTGAGTTTGCAAGGACTGCTATACCGCCGAGGAAGGGCCGTGATTGATTTGACTTCATCAGTCAAGTCATAAATGCCCAAGTCATAGTCAAATCAGTCAAATCAGGTTTGACTTGATTGACTTTCAAGTCAGAAGTCAAAAACTATGCACAAAGGCCAAGTACGGTATCTGCGATGAGGACGTCTATAACTTCGACGAGGCAGGCTTCATGATGGGCAAGATCAAGACTCAGCTTGTCGTGACAGGGTCAGAGAGATCAATAAGATCGATATTGACAACAAATGTTCTTTTCTATTCAATGTTCAATCTGTGCGCCTAGACACTCGCTTACGAACCACGGCACCCACACCTCCTTCACCCAGATCCCCACTGCTCGTACGCCTGCAAGGACTTGGTAGCATCCGTCCAGCGTTGCACAGTCTCCGAACGCTGTCTCGCCGCCTGCGATGGTGATACCTTCCGTGATCGTGCCGTCGATAGCGAAGAACAAACTGTACCGTCCACCGACTGCCATAATCAGTGGCAACGGCATGAAAACTACGTCGCGTTTAGTGGGTCGTAGCAAGGTGCGCAGGCGGTTGAAATGCGTCGCTGCCCAAAGCGAGAGTTGTGTTAGCGCGGTTGATTCGCTGCCGTTAGGGGTTTTTGTTTCGATGGAGACCGCGATGGGGTCTTGTCTCAAGCTTTGCACACTCGCGCTCGTATGGTTGATACTGTCAATCTCGTTGCGTGAATCCGCAAGCACCTGCTGGACAAGATGTGATGGAATCAGACTCTCGTCACAGACCAAGGCGTAATCAACTAGCTTAGATTCCGTGTTGTTGAACCCGGTCTTTGGGACGAGGTGGGGATTTGGGCGGGCTGATGTAATGTTCTGCTGTTGAATACCTGGCAAGTGCATACACACCTGGCGCAGCATCATAAAGTGCACGTCGCTATTCCAGCGCGGCTCGGCGGCATCCGAGTCCTGCAGCTTGTGCGTCTTATCTCTTATCTCTTCCATGATCTCCAACTCCATCAAGACCTTCACTTTCGACGGCAGCGCGCTGGGTGTCTGGCTCCACCACCAATTCTCTGCTTCTACACGTTCCTCAACGTCAGACCTGATCTCGTGTGGTATCACACCCTTTCCCCTTCTTATTTTTTCCACTTCGCGCACCAGCTGTTGTATTGTGTTTGGATAATCCTTCTCCTCCAAATGCATTCTCTTCACCCTGCGATCCAACAAGCTGAGATCGACCATGCTCTTCACCGGGCTCTTTGACCTGCTCGTCGCTTTCCTGCTCGAGCTGGATGTGACTGTCGTCTCGGTGATGACGCTCGCGGTGTCTACTGGCGTACGAGAAGACCGGGAGCTCCGTGATTGAGTATCGGCGGACATCCAGCGGTGTGCGGATGTGGTAGACGGTAGAACGGTGAGATCGGGCTGCCTGAGCAACGGTAGTTCCGAGGGGGGATGTTTTGCAGTGCGATTGTCGTCTATGTCTTCCATGTTTCGTTCTTCTTCACTTCCCTCCGCGATATGCAACGCCGCAACGTCTACCTCCACCGACACAATCTCCTCCGCAATGGGCTTCCGACGACTCTTCGATCTCGTTACCCTTGCATTTGTTCGTTCGTTGTCTCGCATCGTTCTCGTCCGTAACCCAGCGGTCGAACACGATTTTGGTGTGTGGAAGGTGGCTCGCGAATGTCGCAGTGCAGCACCGGCGCAGCCTTTCGCCGACCGGCTACGCGCTGCGAAGACGATCTCTAACCAGTTGTCGATGCTGCGCGGGTCTGAATAACACGATAAGTCTGATTGTTGTGAAAAGGTATCGGAATACGGAGATTGTGTGTCGCGCAGGGTGTGGGTACTCATTGCGGATGTGTGTGACGATACGTTGCATGTGAATGAGGAGTGTGGAGTTGTTAGTGGTTGGCAAAGGCTGGGCCAATACGCTGGTTGTCGGGGCAGCGAGCGACTTGCTCAGGGTCTACCGTGCCGGACGGTCATGCGCCTCGGACGGCTACATGCCCGATTCGCCCCACCAGAACCACCATAAAGATGAGACTGTAGAGCCACACTAAATACCTATTATTGCGAGGTATTATGTTATTTCGATCTAGAAATAGTATTGCGATATTCTTTCTACTTATATTTGACTGGCAACTTAATATCGCGCGATCGAGTCAGTGGTGGGCTCGTTGAGCGAGTAGATAGCTGCGCACCACGACCACGATCACCGACGATAGATTCTTTTGGTGTGGACTTTGTACGAGCTTTGAAGCTCTTTTTGTTGCCATTTTGGGAAGTTTTGATAGCTTTTTGAAGTCGTTTTGCTGCTTTGCGGGCTGCTTGACGAGCTGCTTGACGAGCTGCTCGCTTAGCGGCTTCATCAGCCCTCTGCCTTTCCTTCAGTAGCCTCGCCTCCGCTCGCGCCTGACGCCTCGCATTAATCTCGCGCTCTTTAATCAGCTTTGCCTCCTCCCTAGTTTTGATCGCGATAACTTTTTGTTGCTGTAATAACTCAGAATCGCGTTTTTTCTTCTCTTGGAGACAAGTAGAACAGAATAGCTCAGGGATCATATTGTAGAATATGTCAAAAAGGTTCACGTACAGTGCCCGTGCGCTATTCGAGCCACTTCGGCACTCGAGCCACCCGAACATCGCAACACCGAGATTCGTCCCATCTTCAACACGCCATAGCTCCACCACCATGGATCCGATTCAAGAAGCGATTAGATATATCGGATCGCGTAAAGATGGCGCACAATTTTCGTACCGCCAAGTTGCAAAAATGTTTAATGTTGACCGAATGACGTTGTCGCGGAGGCACAAGGGAAAACAGCGCGCCAGTAAAGTGTACCACCAGGATACTCAGTTACTCAACCCACAACAAGAGCAGGAATTAGTGAGATATATAGAAATATGTGCAAGGCAAGGCTTACAGCCAACGCGAGAGATGCTACAAAATTACGGCAGCGCGGTTGCGAAGTGGGAGGATTCTCCAAGCTGGGTTGATCGGTTTCAGCATCGCCACGCCGACGAGCTTACCACCAAATGGAGCGCCGGAATCGATCACGACCGCTACTGGGCTGACAGTAAGCATAAGTATAGCAGTACTTCGACCTGCTTATTCGAAGATGCGCGAGTACGACCTAGAAGCGCGCGATACCTACAATATGGATGAGAAAGGCTTCTTCGTCGGCGTCACAACCCGCACGAAAAGAGTCTTCTCTAAGGCAGTTTGGGCGTCAAAAGAACGTACTGAAGCGCTCCGCGATGGCAATAGAGAATGGATTACACTTATAGCTTGCGTATGCGCTTCTGGGAGTCACTACCGCCGGCTCTCATCTACCAGGGCACATCTGGGCTTCAATCGAGCTGGGTTGACGACGTAGACGTCGAACAACACCAGGTTTTCTTTGCTAACTCGCCTTCAGGATGTATGAACAATGAGCTTGGGCTTGCCTGGCTCAAACAGGTGTTCGACCGCCATACAAAGGCGAAAGCGCTACGCGGATGGCGACTTCTGATCCTTGACGGCCACGGCAGCCACCTTACGCCCGATTTTTTGAGCTATTGCGACGCTAATCGCATCCTACTTGCTGTGTTTCCTCCTCATTCAACCCATACGCTTCAGCCGCTAGACGTCGTGCTGTTCTCGCCGCTCTCGCGCAACTATACTCACCAGCTCAACTCCTTCCTCCAGGAATCGCAAGGCATCATGAGGATCACGAAACGCGACTTCTTTATGAACTTCTGGGCGGCTTGGAGCTCTACAATGAAGCCAGAGACCATAATAAAGAGTTTTGAAGCTACTGGCGTGTGGCCGATGGACGCAGAGGTGATGCTGCAACGCTTCAACAACCGCACTTCAAAGCAAGATGAAGACGCAGAAATTAGAGAGCATGGCGACGGCGATAGCTACAGTCAGCTGCGAAAAGTCTTCGACGCTGCTGTCGCTGACAAGGCCAAGCTTGAGTCTAAACGGCTGTTGCAGAGCCTTCATTCGCTACAGGTCAACAACGAGCTGCTTCGCCACGAAAACCTAGGCTTACGACGAGCTCTCTACACTAGAAAGAAGCGCGATGCGAAGCGTACGACACTAGACTTGCAGCAAGATGAGGAAGGCTTTACTGGCGCAGTTTTCTGGAGTCCTAGGAAGCTCCGCGAAGCTCGCAAGCGCAAAGCCGCGAAACAAGACGAAGCCGAACGCCTACAACTCCAGAAAACCCACGATAGAGAGATGAAGGCAGCGGCAGCGTTATACAAAAAGCAGCAAGCGGAGGCAGCAAAGGCAGCTCAACAGCGTGCCGCTGAGGAGCGGCGCGAGGCAAAGAAAGCGCGGGCTGCAGAAGTAGCTGCAGAACGGGCGCTCAAAAAGCAGCAACGCGACGCTGCAACCGCAGAAAAATCTCGCAATAGAGCAAATAGCAGCAAGAGAAAAGCCTCACACAAAGCTGCACAAAATCCAATAGAGCGTCGTCGTGTTGTGGCTGCACGAAGTGGTGTTGACGCTGAACCTCCAGCTGCGTCTCCCCCACCCATAATCACTAAGCGCGGCCGCAACAGCCGGTTACCAGCCAAATACAGATAGTACAATCGATGAGCAAGGCTCTATATAGCAATACACTAGAAAATCTCGCGACAATAGCTTTTGTGTGGGCGTCTACAGCTTCATTTTTCTATCGTCAACTTATCGTTGGGGTGGCTCGTTGGCTGACTTGGCTCGTTGGGTGCGCCAAGACGGTATCGCGTAATGCCCGGAACACCAAAATGACGACCCTGAATTCAACCATCCACACCGCCACCAGTATGCTTCCAATTAATGCCGCACTTGCAGAGCTAGATTCCCTGGGCCCAAATGACGATTATGTATACACAGAAATAGCTAACAGGCATGGTGTTGACCGTAGGACGCTGGCGCGCCGTCACTAGGGCATAACCAAGAGTCATGACGACAAGAATTCAAGGCAGCAGAACCTCACCCCATGGCAAGAATTAGAGCTGTTGTTATGGATTAGTAATGAGCATAAAAGAGGCTTTCCACCAGCGTTAAAGGTGGTTCAAGATTGTGCTTCAAGGATAGCCAAATGCCGGATTGGGAAGGCGTGGGTGGGTCGTTTCCTTCACCGTCACAAGGATGAAGTCGTCACCCACTACACCACCGGCATGGACCGCAACCGTTACCAGGCTGATTCAGAGTGGAAATATATCCGATACTTTAATCTGATCCACTCAAAGATGGAGGAATATAGTGTTGAGCAACGTCACACATACAACATGAATGAAAAGGGGTTCTTGATTGGCTTAACCTCTTGTCGCCTCAGGGTCTTTAGCAGAAGGATGCATGAGAGAAGAGAGGTTACTGAAACCATTAGAGATGGGTGAAGAGAGTGGATATCAGTTATAGCCTGCATATGTTCAGATGGGACGGCTCTAGACCCTGGCATCATCTATCAGTCAGACGCCAGCACGCTTCAAGCCAGCTGGGTGGCTGATATCAACCCTCAGGACCATTCAGCCTTTGTTACAGCATCAACCCCTGGATGGAGCAATAACGATATAGGCTTACAATGGCTTATCCAGGTCGTTGACCGGCTGACTAAGGACAAGGCTCGACTGTCATGGCGTCTATTATTTGTCGACGGCCATGCGTCCCATCTATCAATGGATTTCTTGGAATATTGTGATAGCCACCGGATTCTCCTGGCTCAGTTTCCATCTCATGCTACCCATACTGTCCAGCCACTTGACGTGGTTATGTTCAAATCCTTTTCATCCCAATACAGCCAAGAACTTGATGCATACATGCTTCAAGGCCGGGGCATGTTATCTATGGCGAAGAGGGACTTCTTTGCTCTGTTCTGGAATGTGTGGATGAACAGCTTCAAAGAGCCTTTAATTCTAAAGGCTTTTGAAGCCACTGGCATCTGGCCACAAGACGCCAAGGTTATCCTCAAAGGATGGGACTCAGGCAACGATTTAGATGGCTCAGATGGTGCAGAAGGATCAGATAAGAGTGATCTATCAACAAGGATCAAGATCAATCGACGACTCCATGAGGTAGTCAGGGATATCCATAATCCAAGGGCCCAGCAGCTGGCTCAAGCTATTCACCACACTATAGTTCAGCATGATATTGTAAACCATCCAAATCAAGAGCTGGAGGTAGCTGTTGGATGCAAAAGGCAAAGGCAAATCCCTAGGAAAACGCTTCAGCTTGAGGCAATTGAGGAGCCTGATGAATATCCAGGTTGTGCAGTATGGTGGTCACCAAGGAGGATCCAGAGACACCGTGATCGAATTGAGCAAGAGAGACTTGATCAGGAAGCTCAGGATCAGATCAAAGCAGATAAACGAGCAACTCAGATATCTAACAGGAAGCTGAAAGCAAGGTTGGTGGCTGAACGCAGGGTAGCAGCAGCGGCGAACAGGATGAAGAAACAGAAGGAAAAGGCAGCTGCAACAGCACCTCGAATTTACAAGCGAAACTAGGCTGCAGCAGCTAAAAAGCAACACCGACCAAAACCTGTATCTAAGTCAAAGCCAGCCTCAAAACGTAAGCTAAAATCTAAGCCTATCGTGGCTGCAAACGGTGGTGGAAGTGATGATGGTGGCCCGTCAGTACCACCTCCCCCTCCACCGCCATTCACTCGATTAGGCCGAAATATCTACCCACCCCGTCGATACCGATAGACAGGATTGGTTTTTAATCCATAAAGACCT